TCTGCTATGTGGCGCTTTAAGTATAACTCTGTTAAAAGTTCTTTTATGATATTCGATCGCTCACGTCGATCGAAATCAGAGCAACGTAGTAAAATATCTTGTTCTCTTGGAGAAGTGGCTATTCCACGTACTACACAGAAAACTTATGCTGGGATATTCTTTACATGTAACCTAAAATCAGACAGTGGTATTACCGAGTCCTGTGTGAAAGGAAGGAAAAGTTTAAACTCTCTTATTGGTATAGGCATTCACGCTAATGGACTTAATGCTGTAACTAGTTTTAATATAGTAAAATCTGTTGTTTATCCATGTATGCTATATGGAAGCGAACTTTGGAACGTTTATACCAATAAATCTGTTGAAGAATTAGAACTCGCTCATAGATATGTCTGTAGGCGTTGTATTGGACTACCGAACACGTCATCAACTGCTGTAACTTCACAATGTTTAGGAGTTTTTAACATCTGGAGTGAGGTAGAAATTAAAAAACTGCTATTTTGGAATAAGTTGTGTTTAGGAAATGTAAAGTTTGTATGGAAGTCCTTGTTTATTATTAGATTATGTCAGTTCATGTTTGGCGAACTGTCCGCTGTACAAATAGGATTTATTCCAGATGTGTTCAACATCATGAAAAAGTTTAATATAGAATCATTTTTAATTGACTTTTTAACCAACATATTTGTACCTCCAAAATTATGCTGGAAACGCTTTATTAAAAGATTTATTACAGATTTCTATCATATACAGTGGAGAGATGCACTATCTACAAAAGCGGAATTGCGTCGTTATTCTGCCATACACAGTTATCAGGGAATCAACCCCGTATTAGAACTGAGTACCAAGCAAAAATCGCATAAATGCATGTGGCAGTTAATAGAGCTAATGAAATATTCATTTATATTTGAACGCGATATTGTATTATGTAAACTTTGTGGTAAATCTACTGCTGATATTGTTTTTCATTTTCTGCTTGAGTGTCCGAAATTGTTTGAAACGCGTGACTTAATGATGGATGGTGTAGTGAATGCTTTAGAAGTTCCCTCCTATGTTTCATTTACAAATATAGAGGATGAAAACCAATGCAGTTTCTTATTAGGAGATCGTGTGAATATTCTACTAGAAGACTACGAGTGGGAAAATATGATGATCAATATGTCAATTAATCTAGAAAGAATGGTGTGTGAGATTGACACGTTATTGTAACTATCTTCCTTTTTCTATTGATGAACGCTATCTTTATGTAATTTGAAATGTAAATGTATATGTATGTATTGATTGACTTTAATCTCCTGTAAAAGAGGAAATAAAGAATGTCTGTCTGTCTGTCTGTCTGTCTAAGTTGAAATAACTTGTTTCATAATTGTTGTAAAATGTATTATACATTGCATATATATATGGTTTAAATTGAAATTTGACCATACTTGTTATGATTATATACTTTTCTCGTTGGCTTTCTAACCATATATTTGATCTAGGAAGGTGGCGGTAATATCTGGGTTATACTGTATTGTATCCTCGTGTTATCGGTTCCCGCGCACTGAAGAAGCAGTCGCGATTTCGTACTCATATCGGTAGAAAACTGTTGAAATTACGGATGACTGTCATAGACATGTACACAATCTTGATACTAGTAAATTAAAACAGTATTTAAAATCAAATCAGAACAAACATTTTTTAACAAATTTCTCCCGTCGGAAGTAGCCGTTAATATGTTTCCGTGTGTCTATTTTGATTAAGTGTTTAAAGAAAGATAACTCGAATGCACTAAAAATAAATTGTCAACGGTAGCCTGCCTGCACGGACAAAAGCTTCGTTTGGAATAACAAATATATCTTTGATCGTCAAATTAATTATCATTTTTTTTTTTTTTAAATTTCACATTTTTTGTTGATTTTTCAATACGTCAACTTGAACGCATTCATGTAATTTTATAAATCTATTTATTTTATTTACTTAGTTATAATCAAGGGACAGTATATACGTCCCTGGTTATAATAGAATGGGTTTTTTTTTGTGCATTCTTACATATAAAAATTTCGAAAATTGGAAGTTCATTGCATTACAAGGTACCGATATAAGAATGTCTCCTTCGCTCTTCGGAAATGGGAAAAAAATGTCGAGGAGATGTGGTCCATCTAATTTGCATACGACATTTTTGTACGTTTGTCAGACTACAAAATAGACCGGTTCCTGATTGAATGAAATATATCAAGCAAAATTGCATAAATTATCAACCCAACCGCCTATAACAAAACCAGACAAAAAAGGCCAGTTAACATTTATTATAGAAATCAACATTATTCACAAGAAAATGGGTGCAGTGCCAAATGCCAAAAAGACGATATTAATTGGTTCCAGAAGATCTACAGGTACCTCACTCCTACTTGTACACCACTCTACTTCACATACTGATACATTTTAAACTGAGACAACATTTATAATACAAATATTACACTCAAAAGCCTAATTTATCCCAGTGAAAAAGGGGGTAAATCCTAATAAATAAACCCGCGTCCACTAGCTATACCTTTCACACTTATATATACAAAATGCTTCCGAAAAGGATTCAATGACATGGAGGGCGGGAGGGCGGTAAATTGTGACAAGACTCGAATGTGTCGAAAGAAAGAATGGACAGTTTGGCGCCAACACCTAAATACCAGCTGGGAGCGGAGCCGAAGTGACCACTAGCTCATAGGGACTGACCAATCGGACGGGGGGACTGAACTGTAATCACAGTGAACTAGCCAGGGGTCAGAAATCTGACCAGGGACGTAAGGAGGTAATTAAATGATTTGAGAGACGACAAATCGCCACAATGCGTGTTTTTCAATCAGTGATTAATTCTAGTTTTCCGGACGAACTTCCGGTAACTTTTGTCACTTCAGAGTCGTCAGTTTACAGACGATGGCTTAACGTCTAAAATATCCGTGTGTAGTGTCCAGCAGGTCACGTAGCTACGAGGTATAGCTTGATAAAATGGCTGAGCGGAAATATAACGTATAACGCGCGGAAACCTATAACTAGACGATATATGGTATAAAGAGCATTGCTATTTATCTAAAAAGTGTCCCGATTTGGATACAGTGATGTTATACGTTTCTGTTCAAATGAATAATATCCTGATTTAAATGTACAGATACTGCCTGCAATTTCTTCTCCCTATAGTTCTTTTGCCCAAGTGCCGCGCGGTTTCGTTTAACCACGGACTTAGATAACATCTACCTAATTCCGTGGTTTAACTTATAATTAACCCGCGAAAACAGATGAAAAACTCGCATTCCTACTTCCGCTTTCGTTTTCTATTGAATGGAATATTGTGTGGATCGAATCGTACGAATTGCGATAAAACGACACAAATAAACCATTGATGCACTCATCTGACTGTACTTGTTAAATGTATGTTCACCTAGTAGAAATATTGCCTTACAATTATACAGATGCTTAGATATCATTGACAGCGGCGTTTCGTCTTATTCCGTAATTCAGAAATATATAATAACAATAGCCTCAAACAAACTCGACCTGCTGACTAGAGGTTTTGGATGAGGTCCACTCCTTGTGGTCCGAGAGAACTAAGTGGAGAGTATGAACATATTAACTCCATGAACACTTGTTTTTCACACGATTCAAACCTGTATAATTATTACCGCAAAGACAATCTGTTCCAAGTACACTAGCCAGCAACTGGACGAGATGAGTGGGCTGTATACCGTAATGGCTTATGTTTTGAAGGGAGTCGAGTACTCGTCCCGAGCCATTAATTCGGTAATACGAGTAAACTATGAAGTAGTAACAGTCGTGCTTTATTACTGTATCCAGCTCTTGACTCTTGTGTACCACTGTTCGTCAATTTTCCTCACCGTTCTGTTCAACATCGTTTCATCAGGAGTTGATTTCCTCAGTGAATGTTGCAACTTCATGTATGGGTTTATCATGCTTATTTGGAAGTTTTCTAGATTCCTTGCTAGCATGTTGGATATCTTGTTCCGAGGAATCGAGTTTTTGACTAATTTCATAATGACTGGGGGAAAGTGGACTGCCAGTGCCTTACACGTGTCCGTCTCGGATCTAAAGCTCAATGCCTACAATTTGTATACATATGTCTCGGATGTTATAGCACAGTGGTCCAAGACTTCAGCAGGAGCATTCACCCTTGTTTGGGATATCACCTTTAGTGTTTTTGCTAATGTATTTCATTCATTAAACTATGTCCTTTCTTTATCTTGGAGGATATTTGACAGTATTATGATTGGATTTGCAGAAAGTGTGCGGTTCCTAACTGATCAGATGTACTTCTTTTTGGTATATTATTTACCAAATATACCAAAAGAAACCTATCTTGTACTGATAACATTATTACTACTGTATCTTTTTGTCTTAAGTGTTTTAAACCATTTGTCCAACCGAGATATGACGTTTCCCATTCTCAACCGTCTGGGACAGCCACACCGATGGGAGGAAATGGTGGAGGATGCTCAGTTTGAATTCTCAGATGATGATGTGAATGTAAGTGAGGTAGAAAGTGAAATAGACAATGACAGTTTATCTGATGAAGATGAAGAGGAGGAAATTGAATTTGAAGTAACAGATGATTCTGATGATTCTGGGAGTGATCAAAATTCCAACCTGTCCGATGACAGCGATGGAACAAGTACAACTTTAAGTAATGATATTGATATTCAGCTTCCTGCAACAACAAATGGAAGGTATAACCTCAGGAGATCTACAACACCATCCAACATTAGTTATGATAGTTTGAAAGATTTTGAACGCGAGATGGAGAAAGAACGAGAAAGACAGAAGTGTGTAGTTTGTCAGGATCAGAACAAATCGGTACTGATACTTCCGTGTAGACACATGTGTCTGTGTGTAGACTGTGGTAACCAGATTGCCAGGGCAAGGAATGTAGCACGCCGAACTTGTCCCCTGTGTCGTCAGAGGATAAGAACTATTATGAATGTGTATGTGTGATGGGAACTATTTCAAATGGTGCTGTCATGGTTCGGCCGCTGTTCTGTTAAATTTGTGGTTGTTTTTTTCAATTTCAAACTTTAGTTACATTTATGTATGTTTGATTTACCTATCAAGGTGTTCATATATAAACAATGACTAAAATATTTAGTTGAAGTCAAAGACATAATTGCTTATTTACATTTCTGTATTCAGTATACTTAAATAAAATTTACAGTGAGTTCCCTTTTCCTTTATGCAAAACAAGTTGAACTTTTGAAATATTATTATTTTGATTATGATAAGTTTAAGTTCAGGGGTATATCAATAGCACAATTTACCAAGGTGAATTTAAGTTTTATATCAGAGCTAGTGAAAATTCAAAATATTTACCATGAAAATATAAATTGTGCAGGCTGTTAAATCTTTTACTGGAAGCATCCCACAAAATGTACCTTGAATTGGAGATTATTACTGTTTATTGATACCTTTCTGAAACTTTGTAAGGAAAACAATTTCTTGGGCTAAATGTTTCTTTGTGATATGATGGAATTGGGACAACAGCTGACATTGAAAATTTCAAAACAATTTTAAGAATAACTAAAAATGGCAGAATAGTGTTAACTAGCTTATAGCCAAAATAACAAATAACCTTAACAAGCATAATTTGGAACAACCTGCACTTTCATATCTGTTGTATAGATTTAGGATTTTTGTTACATATATATGCTTTTATCACATAATCGGCCTGTTATCCAGTGAATTCGCCCGTGTAATATTTTTATATATGTCACTAGTGTAATATACCCTGGAGCGTTTTTCATTGGCTGTGCCAGTCAGAAATCGATTGTGACGTCATTATATGGACAATGACGTAACATCATAAATTGTGAATGGCGCAACAAAATGGCTATCTCAGTTTGATTGAGCCCTCTACATTTTGGCTTTAAAACCTACCAAAATGCAAGTTTTCTGGGTTATGTGATAAAAAGTATCTTAAATTTGTTTTCATTTCATATGAACTTTTATGAAACTTGTCTCGAAATTTTAATATTTGCTCGCCAAGGCTCGCAAAAATATAAATTCCTACGACTCGTTTCATAAAATCTCATATGAAATGAAAACTCATTTAAGATCCCATACATGTACTTAGACACTCCAGTCACACAGGGCTATAATTCCAGTCTGCCTAGCATCGATCCTAAGGAGGCTCGTTAGTCTAGTGGTGGGATGTCGGGCATGACCGAAGGGTTGCAGGTTCGAGTCAATCTTTGATCAAGATAATTTACTCCGCTTGTTCCAGTCTACTCAGCTGTAAATGAGTACATGTATGGGCAGTGCTAGAATTGTAGAATACTAGCTGTGAGCACCGAGATGGCAGCACTGGCTGTATGCTCCACAGGGAATTGAGAAAGATATTGGCTGGTTGCAAAGGCACTATAACCATGGATAATAATTTGTGAACTGCTTTGCGGCGACCTACGAACTAAGTTGTGATAAAGCGGTATATAAGAACCTCAAATTATGATTATCATTATTACCAACAAATTTTGTCAATAAGATGCTTAACCTACTTCAGATGTGCTTAGACACATGATCCCAAAGAGCATAATTCTCAGTTAAGTCAGGAGTTTTCATGGGGGAAGGCTTACTAAAAAAACAGTCAGAAGCAAAAATAATTAAGAATGACACTTTAGTTCTATTTAATAAGGAAGTCAACATGGACAAATTATTGATATACAATGCAGTCATGACGTATATGATATGATTGTAGGGATTGTTATTAGTCATTTTAGATGCTGAAATATTAATGCCGTTGCTTTTGTAAATATGAACACAATGAACTGGGCTGATTAGAAGTTTTTTGTGACCTGCTTTTGAGTGGATTGTATACATATACATCTAGATCAATCTACATGGCAATGAAAATTTGATACAGTATAATACAATGTATATTTATATATCTATACATTTATGCTTTTATAAAGTTCAGATGGCTTCAGTGGTTCATTGGCCATAAAACAATACATACAGAAACAAAATTTGAAAGTCTCGTCTACAGGACAGATTTAGCAAGGACATTTAATTGCTTCCTGTTGACATATTCATAAGTAGGGCAGTATATTGTTATTTTACAGGATTGCAAAGCATTAGGGAAAATATCAATTTATTCTGCTACATGAGTGATAAATATATGAACTGATCGGGAAAACCATCAAGTTTTTAGCTACTAGCCATAAAAGACTGAGCAGATTTTGACCAAATTTGGTCAGAAGCATCCTTAAGGAAAGTGGAACAAATTTTGAATAAATGGTGGGTCTGGCCCCCCCTGGGGGCTGAGGGGCGGTGCCCAATAGGGGAAATATAGCAAATTCTTTAAAATCCTTCTTTTTCTGTAGGAATGAAAAGATTTGTTTCATATTTGGTCTGAAGCATCCCGGGTGAAGGGGAATCAATTTTGTATAAACTGTGGGTCTGGCCCCCGAGGTGCCTGAGGAGCGGGGCCCAATAGGGAACACATAGTCAATTCTTTAAAATCCTTCTTCTTCTGTAGGAATGAAAGGATTTGTTCCATACTTAGTCTGAAGCATCCTTGGGCAAAGAGGAACCAATTCTGTATAAACCGGGGGTCTGGCCCCCTAGGAGCCTGAGCGGCGGGGCCCAATAGGAGTAACATAGCAAATTCTTTAAAATCCTTCTTCTTTTGTAGGAATGAAAAGATTTGTTCCATATTTGGTCTGAAGCATCCTTCGGTAAAGGGGAGCCAATTTTGTATAAACCGTGGGTCTGACCCCTGAGGGGTGGGGCCAAATATTGGAAATATAGCAAATTCTTTAAAATCATCCTTCTTCTGTAGGAATGAAAGGATTTGTTCCATATATGGTCTGAAGCATCCTTGGGTGAAGGGGAACCAATTTTGTATAAACCGTGGGTCTGGCCCCCCAGGGATCTGAGGGGCGGGGCCAAAAGGGGGCAATTTGGCTATATTGATATAAGCGACTCTGGAACTAAGAGATGGATATCAACCTTATTTGACTGGAAGCATCCCTCGGTAGTGGAGATTCAAAATTGTACAAATGGTTGGGCTGACCCATCCTTGCAGACTTAACCCCTGGGTCATAACTTCAAAATGGTTGAGATCTCCACCCAAAGACTATGAATACAAATGCTGGACAAAAAGAGACGAATGCAGTCATGATAATGTAATTGATGCTGGGGTCTGGCCACAACCCTAGGGATCTAGTTTCTGAGTCACAGCTTGGAATCCCAACCCCATAACCATACATTAAATTGCTGGACATGAAAAATCTAATACAGACATACTACAAGAATTGGTATTGAGGTCTGGCATATTCCCTTGGATCTCATTTGGAGAATATTTTGCCATGATTGCTTAGATATCCAGGTGAGCAATACAGGCCCTCTGGGCCTCTTGTTTCTCTATCTATTACATTATCAAAGTGCAAATACAAAAATATTAACACATACAAGTGTGGTAGTTGCAGGTTGAATAATAACAGACGCCAATTTCTTGTAAAGTCGCACTCTGCAACAAGGCAGCACATCATTTTAAATTGCGTAGACTCAACCCAATTCTGTTGTTTTAGTATCTGGTTAGTTTTGCTGACTGTCACAAGTAGTGTCGGTTTATCTACGAGATGGTAACTGTTAGTATGAAAGAGTTTCTATGTATTTTTTTGCTATGGTATATTTTTCCATAGGCGGGGTTTTTATGTGGTTAAATACAGTACGGTACACTAGTACCAGTGATAGACATATCACAGTAGGGGAAATACGGTAAATTATGTGGGGTTTTCACCTGGGAGAGTGGGAGCCAATCAGAATTTACCTTGGCCGTCACTGCGCTCCGAGTCACACACAGAGCAGCAAGGCATGGCGCAGCACCTGACGCTGTCTGCGTCCGTAAAACCTCAAGCTATGGCGTAGGAACAGGTTTATAGAACTTCCCAGGGGTGAGTGTTATGCATAAAACCACTATTGTTTGTAACATGACCAGCTAAGTAGCTGTCATGGTCATTTTGTCTATTTTTGAACGAAAGAATGTTCTTTGCGAAATCCGCTCGCTCAACCATGTGCTATTTGGATGGGACGTGAGTGGGTTGATTACGAGTCGGATAATTAATGAAAGCTAACTGGTTTCAGTGACATTTATGAACTGTTCTAGGCTGTTAGGCATATGTTAAATGGTTGTAATATATTGTCAATATGTAAAAGTTGTTTTAGGGGTAATTTTACGAACCGGAAGTTCGAATATGTTTGATACCGGAAGTGACCCTTAGGTTGTTGACCTTTTGTAGTTCGAGTGATGGGGACCATGCAGTTGGGGTCCTGTGGCCAGTGTGGGGACGGGATAACACGAGAGTGACGGCACCCAGGCCATTTCAACTTCCACCTACATCCTTCGTCACGGCTGCTCGTCACGGACTCTTCTCAGACGGCTCAGACGCTTCGTGAAGACGTCACAGACAGTCACGCCACGACAGGGATGAGGAAGGGCCTGGACACTTCAACGACTCCTGAGGAACCCCTATGACTTCAGAGACAGGGTGAATCTACATCACAGCCCTCTGCTACGTCTATATGAACATTCGTGTACTTAAGTATTGTGTTAACATTTAAATAGGACATTGATGTGGCCTACACCTACATGTAGTTGTGACACTACAGAACTGTGCTTATACCCCCAGTGGGGTAACTAGTGGAACTAACTATTAAGCTTAGTTGTGTGAATACTTCATGACCAAAGCCTTATATTTCAGGAACTTTACATAATTAGAACATTGTTTACTTTCTAGTCTTGGATACAAAACTTATTACTATGTAGGGTGTGACAGGGATACTCGAGTCTAGTCATGAGAGTGTATGTTGATGCTGTGTGGTAATCAGTATGCAATAGAGCGTTTGATCCTAGTGCGATTACCACCAGGTAATAGTTCCTTTTACAGAGAGAAACTCAATCGTTATCACTTGTGTAGATTCTGTACACATATATATAGTGAATTGTTAATACATTTGTTGAATTTATATCATTGTTGTTGATTCTACCTCCATCATCCGGTATTCACTCCTCAACTTCGTGACACTGACCAAAAGATAATCAATTGCATGTGTATTTATCTTATATTTGAAGGAAGATGAAACCTCTGTATATCTTCATTTTATTGCAGAAATAAGTTTTATCACACTTATAATTTTTAGGTCACCTGAGCTTTAGTTCAAGTGACCTATTGCTATCCGTCGTCCGTTAACATTTTACATTTCCAACTTAAGCTGAAATTTCATGGGAAGGTTATAGACATCTCCCTGACCAAGTGTTATTTTTCCGGTCGATCAGAAATCCAATATGGCCGCCACGGCCGCCATTTTGAAAAACTATTTCAAACTTAAAGTCAAGGTTTGCTGGGTTGATTGAACTGAAACTTTGTAGGAATGTTCGACTCATGGTCCTGACAAAGTGTTGTTATATTTTGGGTCGAACAGAAATCCAATATGGCCGACACAGCCGCCATTTTGAAAAACTATTTCAAACTTAAAGTCAATTGCAAGTTCTACTGGGCCGATTGAACTGAAACTTTGTAGGAATGATCAACTCATGGTCCTGACAAAGTGTTGTTATTTTTTGGGTCGATCAGAAATCCAATATGGCCGCCATGGCTGCCATTTTGAAAAAATCTATTTCAAACTTAAAAACAAGTTCTAATAGGCCGATTTAACTGAAACTCGGTCTAGGAATGAACAGCTCATGGTCCTGACAATCTTAAGTTAACATTATACTTAACTTTTTTGTACTCAAATTAGTACATATTTCAACAACAAAAATAAATACTGTAGGACTCGGGTGAGCGTTTAGGCCCATGGGCCTCTTGTTGATAGTTCACTGTAAAAATATAATTACATGTACTCCAGATTTGTTATGGTTTTGTGTAGCCTTCCTTGATACATTGTAACTGAAATGTACCTTATTATCAACTGATAATGCATCATCAATGCCAGTGATATCACATCAACAACATATCACAGACACTGACTATGCAAGATACAAGAAACTTTAACGTCGCATATATCAAACAGAGAAACATTAAGCGCTATTTTTGCGACAAACATGATAAAAAGCAAACAGAAAACAACAAACAAGCTATACACTATCACAGAAAGCTAGCACATAATCAGCGAGTAAAACATACAATACGATAGCAGCATATAAATAGTACTATACTAATAATGATGTTAAGAGATAATAGTGAAACACCTGCATATCACACAGGTGTTGCTATATATTGGAGTGTTAACACAAGTGTAATGTAGCAAAAGAGTAAAAATTGACATAATATACACTAATATAGTATAAATTAGAATAGGAAGACAAGGTCTAGTAAGTAAAAGATATTGAGCTATAATGATTATCAGAAGAGAGGGCTAAAAACTATACTGCCAGTTATTGGTATATAAAAGCGTCCTGAGGTAATAAAAAGACGATTTCAAGGTTAAAAGATTACATAAATAATCCGGAGCGCTACATTGGTAATAATTTTAAAAACTTCACAAGCCATGGTTTTCATTCTTTTTTTTGCTTTTTCTTAAAAGTCCTAAATCTGGCGTTGTGTAGTCATCCTCAATAAAATGAATGACTCTAACAGAGGCTGTGGCCCCTTTAGGGACAGAGATGTGGGGCTAATGGGATAAATGAGGTAAATATTTAAAATACTTCTCCTTCTGTTCCATCAGCATCCACAGGCAAACTGGACCAAATTTTGTATAAGTAGAGAGTGGCCCCTCTGGGGGCAGAAAGGTGGGGCCCAAAAGGGGGAATATATTAACGTTTTTAGCTCACCTAGTCCAAAGGCCCATCAGGTGAGCTTATGCCATACCAAAGCGTCCGTCGTCCGTCAATCAACTTTTCCTTTAAAACGCTACTAGTCCTGAACGGCCAAGTAGATTTTGACTTAATTTGGTCTGGAGTATCCTTAGGCCAAGGGGAATTTTGATTAAACGGTAGTTGAGGCCCTCCTGGGGGTGCGGGGAAATAGAGGTAAAACCTTCAAAATCCTTCTACCGTATGGAGAAAGGGATTTTATCCTAATTTAGTCTGAAGCATCCTTAGGCCAAGGGGACTCAATTTTGTATAAATAGTGTGTGTGCCCCCCCCTGGGGGCTGAGGGACATAACCAATATTTGGATATAGTTGCAGTATCATATTGATTGCGAATGTTTTCCCATCGAGGCGTATTTTCCAAGTGAGCGATACAGGCCCTCTGGCCCTCTTGTGTATTCTGCCTTCAGCCTAGAATTTAAACTAGGAGCTTGTATACACTGTTTATCTCTCCTCTTCATGTTTCAAGTAATTTTGATGTATTTGGCCAGTAGAAGTTAATAATAATTTACACCATGGTACAGTTGTCTGTCCATCATGCTTTCACAAAATTGATGTTGGCAAGTAGAATGCTGAGATAGAGGGTGATTAATTATGTTCAGATGAATGACTTTGACCCACTTTCAAGGTCATATGGGCTAAATAGTTGAAACCGCTTCTACTGATTTCTCAATAACCAGGAACCCTATATAAGCTATGATGATATTAACCCAGTAGCATACATGTAAGAAGGCCTATCAAGTTTATTTAAATTAACGACATTGATTGAATTTCAAAATTGACCCTTAAATAATAGACAGTCTTAGGATGATATTTCGTAAGTAGCATACTGGGATAAAAAGGCTATCAAATTGTTAAAATAAATAATCATGACTCTCATGGTCACAGGGGTAAACTTTTGATCTAGAGTTTACAGACATTTGATATATACATCCTGGCATGGGAGACTCGGAGTGGTATGCTATAGATTTGGGATGTACATGTACAGGTCCTTTGCTTTTTACCTGACCGTCCCAAAGGGCAAATGATCTTATGCCATGGTGTAGAATCCATTATCTGCCTGTGAACTTTTCACTTAAATGCCCACTTGTCCAAAATGACAGAACGGACTTNTTCACTTTTCACTTAAATGCCCACTTGTCCAAAATGACAGAACGGACTTTTGACCAAATTTGTTGTATAGCATTGCTAAATTAAGGGAAATCAAATTCGTGTAAATGAAGGGTGTGGCCCTGTGGAGAAACATTTAAAAACAAAAAGAAGCCCTTTGAGTAAGAATGAAAGGATTTTAATCTGAACTGGTCTGGACCCTCCGTTGGCCAAGAGTACTCAAAGTTGTATAAAAGAAGGGTGTTGCCTCTTTGGGGGAAGTGCACGTGGAGCGGGGCTTAATAGGGGAATTGGTAAATCTTCAACATAATACTCTTTGAGTATCAGTAAAGGGTTTGTAATCTAAATAAGTCTGGAGCGTCCTTGGGCCAAGGCATATCAATGGCGTATAAATGAACAGTTCGGCCCCTTTAGGGGAAGAGTAATGGGGCTCAATAGGGGAAACATAGGCGAATCTTCAACATCCTAATCTTTGAGTATATCGGTAAAGGAATTTGAATCTAAATTGGCCGGAAGCATCCTTGAGCCAAAGGGACTCAATTTAACGGAGGTTGTGGTCCATCCTGGGGCAGAGAGGTTGCCCAGGGCCCAATAAAAAGATGTACCTCTTGAATTTGAAAAAAATGATTTTTTACCAAAATTTGTCTGGAACGTCCTTAAAAATATTTGAAGAGGACCAGTCCTGTGTAAATGGAGGGCGCATTAATAAAAATGTAGGCCAAATTTAAAATCCTTCTTTTTGAATATAGGAACACAGATATTCTTTGGCCAAAGGGATTCAACATTTAATAAATGGAGGATGTGGCTGTCCTAAGGGCAGAGGGGTGAGGCCCAATAGAGGGAATATTGGAAAAATCTTTAAAATCATACTTCTTGAGTAAGAGTAAGTAATTTTACCATTAGTTGTTCAGAGCATCCTTTTGGAAATATTATTAACATTTTATAAAGGGAGTGTGTTAATGCCCCGTAGGGATAGATGATTGCGGACCATATGGGGAACTGTAGATAAATATATTGAATTATTTTCTTTGAGTAAAATTTGAATGTCAATTTATCTGGAGCATCCTTGATCCAAGGAACTGTGACTAACCAGGGGACATTAGGGTGTGGTCAAATTAAGGAACGTAGATGCATCCTTTTTCTTGATTATGGATCAAGTAAAACTAACTTAATTTGACATGGAGCATCCTAAGGTTCTTCTTAATATTAAAAGTTTGTTTTAGGGAAAAAGTAAATATAATGAGTAATTTGGTAAACTATCCTAGAAAAAAAATTAATTGTCAGATGGATCAGGCTAAAATGCTTATATTTTGATATTAATTGAACTTATATATTCATCTATAAATGCCATAGAATTGCAAATTCTGTAATATAAATGCTAAAAAATTATTCATGCAAAACTAACATTCACACAAGTTTATGAAATATGTTTTTGAAATCTATTTGTCTGTTTCATATTAAAAACTCTATAGGAGGTGAGCTGCTTCAGGGCCTCTAGTTCAGTTATGGCCTTGGTTTATAATCGGTGTTTCCACCATAACTCCTACAATGTTAAGCTCAGCTTTCCTGAATGATGTTGTGGTGTAGCTATCTATTCCCATCATACATCTGTTTGTGACCATCTGTCTGGTATTAATTTTTAGATTTAAATGATACTTTTTCAAGGTCACATGGTTTAATTAGTTGAACCCTTCAAAAACCTTCTAATCAACCAGGAGGTGTATAGTAACGGTATTTGGACAGTTTCATGTTTTTGGGTTAAGGACAAATTAGTTGAAATGACTGTCGAGGTCAAATTTTAAGCGTCTTCTTTTAAGGTCACCTGAGCTTTAGCTCAAGTGACCTATTGCTATCCGTCTTCGTCCGTCGTCGTGCGTCATGCGTCGTCCGGGATTTGATACTTCATGAGAATGTTACTGACATCTCCCTGACGAAGTGTTGTTATTTTTCGGGTCGATCAGAAATCCAATCTAGCTGCCACGGCCGCCATTTTGAAAAAACTGTTTCAAGCTTAAGGATGTACTCTTCTGAGGTTTCAATCACATTCAAGTCTCGTTTTGATCTGGTGTAATGGGCGTTTGTAACATTTAACAAATTATGATCAAGTTTATTAGCAAACACGCATCTGAAAAATATTTGAAAAAAATATATGCCTGTTGTTTGTCGAACCTTTTTTAATTTCAATTTAATTTAATTTAATGTAAAAAAAAGACTAATTCGGCGGCCATTTTGAAAATGTGTATTAATGTGTATTTCCTGCGCTTCAAAAAAGGCCAAAATTTCACCTTTTTTGACACTAGATTGATCACTGAAATTGTCATTGTGTCGCCATTTTTAATTGTAGCAGGTTTAATTTAGCTGTACAACTTTATAATGTTAAAATAATATGCAACAAAACTGGAAAAAATTATACATTATGGATATTTTTTTTTTACGTATTTAGTGTAACTGAAGCACTTGATTTTTGACCCCGAAAAGGGTAAAAAAATAACACAAATGATAATGGGACAAAAAAAAAAGCACACTGACCCCCCATTTTTGTAGATGTTTTAGAAAGAGAAACACATTTTCATTCAATTCATTTAATATTAAAAAAAGTTTAATACCAAAACTTTTTATATCAGCGTTTAATCTGCCAAAAAATGATAAAGAATTAGTATTTTTTCATTAAAAAATAGGGGGTAAGGGTAACTAAAATCGGCTTTCTGAGTTAAAAGAATAAGATTAAGAAATGTTACTTCCATAATTTAAAAGAAAATGATATTTTCATCAATTCTACAAACATTCATACATATCTGATAACACACTTGGAAGAAATTGTATGAATTTGCAAATGGTCAAAACCCAAAAAATCACCTAAAATTACATGTTGTGTTAAATTGGTATCTTTGACCGATCATAGCACAAAAACGAACACACGGACATATAGTTGTTATTGCATTTTCTACTATGCCATTAACTCCTTTTTCCAAAAATCCATATAAGAAATAAAGTTTAATACAGGGAAATTTTGGCTTCTCAGAGGTGTACATCCTTAAAGTAAAGTTCTACTGGGCTGATAGAACTGACACTTGGTAGGAATGATCGACTCATAGTCGTGACCAAGGTTTTTTTCGGCCGATCAAAAATCCAATATGGCCGCTACGGCCGCCATTTTATAAAATCAAGTTCTAATAGGCCAACTTAACTGAAACTCTGTCTAGGATGGGTAGGGATGATTGGCATCATTATCTCCACTTCATATTTCAACAACAAAAATAAGTACTGTAGGACTCGGGTGACCGTTAAGGCCCATGGGCCTCTTGTTAATAACTAAGAGGCCTTGCGATAATTATTTCACCACTAATATGCTAGAATGAAGGGCTATCAATTTTGTTTAAATAAATAAAAGATGAACACAGAGACATGCATGTGATTTCACCTTCAAAATTTGTTAATAAATCAGTATACCGAAAGTTTAATTAAACTGCATCAAAAAGCTGTTTTGTCCTTCTAGGACTCATTGATGATGCTATTTGCCAAGAAAGTGAAAATTATAAACTACATGTACTATTGGTATAGACGGGCTACATAAAATCTCTTACTTATTATTATCTCTTACTCAACCCACGCCAAGAAACAACAAAACTTGAATAAAAATAATCTAAGAATAGCGATTCAAAAACTTGCGGAACAGGATGATAGTAATTTAGTACAATTAGACTTTAAAAAGAAAGAATAAGAAAAAATCAGAGAACTTAAAATCAAAGGTAGCATAATCAGATCAAGAGCATAATGGGTCGAAGAAGGTGAGAAGCCAACAAACTATTTTTTCAACTTAGAAAATAGAAATTTTACCTCTAAAATAATTCCTAAACTGCAATAAACAAAACGAGAAGAAATCTTAAATGAAGTTCGCAATTTTAATGAAAAGCTCTATAGTAATGACAGTGTAATAGAAGATGTACATTTGAATGAATTACTTAAAGACTATAATGTTTGTAAACTAAGTAGACAAGATGCAGAAAAATTAGAGGGTCCTATAACACTGGAAGAGGCAGGTCAAACTTTAAAAAGATGAAAAATTACAAAAGTCCTGGCGAAGATGGTTTTACAGCTGAGTTTTTTAAATGGTTTTGGAAATATTTAGGCAATTTTGTGGTAAGATCTATTAATTCAGGCTATGAAAAGGGTGAACTGTCTATTTCTCGACGACGCGAAATTGTAACTTGCATACCGAAGGGAGATAAACCCAGGCACTTCATAAAAAACTGGAGACCAATAACACTACTCACTGTTATATATAAAATAGCTTCTGGAACAATTACACATAAAATAAAAACAGTCTTAGACAACATTATAGATAAGGATCAGACAGGGTTTCTCGCGGGGCGTTACATTGGGGAAAACACACGATTAGTTTATGACTTAATGCAATTTAGTGAGGAAAATAATATCCCTGGCATGCTATTGATGATAGATTTTGAAAAGGCTTTTGACTCGGTTTCGTGGGGTTTCATTGAAAAAGTTTTTGTTTTTTTTGATTTTGGAATAAGTATACGAAATTGGATAAAGGTATTTCATAAAAAGATGATACAGATGATACCTCTTTGACTTTAGATGGATCTGAAAGATCTCTTAAAGAATATGTTAATGAATTAAATTCCTATGCTAAAAAATCTTGTCTAAAAATTAATGTATCCAAAACAGAGGTAGTCTGGATTGGTAGTAAAAAAAATAGTGATGAAACCTTCCTCCCAGAACTTAACTTGCAATGGGGCCGACACAAATTCACACTTTAAGGGATTGATTTTCATGTTGACTTGCACGAGATACAAAAAATTGATCAAATTGAAGTCATTGATAAAAACCTGGACAAGAAGTAATTTAACTCCAATTGGTAGAATCCATAGTATTAAATCACCTTTTGTTTCACCATTCAACCATCTATTTATAGCACTGCCAAATCCTGATAAACATTTGCTTTCAAAACTTAATTCTATTATTTTTGAATGTTTGTGGAACAGCAAAACAGACAAAGTCAAAAGAGAAGTTATCATCCAAGAATACCTTAACGGTGGCTTAAAAATGATTAATTTAAAAGCATTTATAGATTCATTAAAATTATCTTGGATCAGAAGGCTTTTTTAGACTACAGCTAAATGGCAAGTTATTTTAAAAAGTTATGTTAACATAGATCTACTAGCCAACTGTGGCAATGATTTTGTGCAAAAATGTCAAAAAGAGTGTAGAAATTCTTTCTGGGTTGATGTTTTCAAAGCTTGGTACCGTTTGAATTTATGAATTGAAAAATATAGTCTTATGAAGGATTCTATATTAAAAACACCATTATGGTTTAACAGAAATATAGCTGTTGGTCAGAAATCAGTATTTTTTAAGAATTTTTATGACAAAAATATTATAACT